ACTTAACAAAGAGGCGAACTTATATTTTTTCATTACAATCGACTGCATTACTTATATTCCTTGAAAGGATATCCTGAGTAAGAGTTGTAGTCACTACATGCCATATAAAGTGATGGTTGAAGTGCTCCATCCGCTTTCTCCTATTAAGGCTCTAAGGATAGCCTCAAAACTCACTAGCTATGAATATAAATTATTAATTACCCAATTTTACGGATTTTGTAAATTAATAATTTACTCCTTTTCATGTAGTCTAAATCGGTCACTTGGCGACTTACCCATGAGATTATGAGGCAGCTCAAATGCGGCCTTTAGGGAGCCATATTTTTTCCGCTTGTCTAATTGTCAAGTCCTGACCGGCAAGCTGGCCTGATTTGCCTAATTTGCCTGATTGCTTGTTGGTCCACCCACCGATTTGCTTGACGTTTGGATGCATTCTCGGCTGTCCTGTATGCCTATTTCCTTCTCCATGCCAACGTGTTCACCCTGTGCCTCTAGACAAACGGCCGAGGCCATGAGCAGAGGCGCTTTGGCTCCAGCCGGTCTGGGGCTCGTGCCAACCAGCCTGGCGCTGCAGAGCATCGGGATCGCTGAATGGCTGCGCGCCATCCGAATGGAGCGGTACACAACCAACTTCATGTGCTACGGTGTGACCAACCTGGGCCTGGCGCTTCAACTAACGCCCAACGACCTGGTCGCCATGGGACTTCAACACCCGGAGGACCGACAATTGCTTCGTTTCAACCTGGAGGCAGTGCGAAAGCGGTTGCAAACCGTGTCGGCCAGTCATTTGGTGCCGTAGCCGGCTTTGACGACCGGAACCATCCTCCTACCCGTCGACTCCGAGCCCAGCAGACACCAGATTCCGGTTGCACACAGATGCACATGCCTGGGCCGGCCCTTGTGCATGCGACACACACATATATATAGGTAAATACACATACCCAAAGAGACAAATTCACACAAACAAACATACAAACGCATGCATATACACGCCTGCTTATTTCGAATGAAGGGCTGGGCTAATAAGCAATGGTTATTCTGATCAACCCTCCAACAAAGATGCATTCAGGGCAAAATCCACCAACACACATGCAAACACACACTCGTCTGGCAGTCTTTAAGGATATAATGCTGTACAACAAGCGTGTCCCAACTAGGCCGACTTGATGGCACACCGGCTTCCGGGCGTCTCAAGTGATCTGGCTGTCTGTACATTTTAAGCATGCTGAAGACGCTTCTTCATTTGTGCGTGCATGATTAGTTCATTTGCCCCTCGAATGGACTCCGTGAAAAGCCCAAAGGGGATATTTGAAACTCTCGGTAAAACGACAAACCCCGTGAAGGCAGCAGCAATGCACAGGTTTCGTCGGGCCCGGCCAGGCAGGGTACCTGTAACCGAGCCTCCTCGTCGGTAAATGGACACAGGCCCAGTAATAATCTGACCTCCAGTCCAGTGACCTCCTATGCTTTGGCACATTTCGCGTGTTTTCGCCTGTTCATACGTCATCTGAAGTCGGGCGGAGACACCCTTAAATCACCTCATAAGGGCTATTTTAGGGAATTTTAGAGCAGTTTTCAGTTTTTTACGCCTCCACTGCTTCCATGCCTTCACCTTTCAAACGACTGTGCACCGTGTGGGGCAAAACGCCCAGTAGCCGGCAGCCAGCCTGCTCAATGAAAATTCACACGATGTCAATTAGCATCTTCTGAAGTGCCAATAACCTTGCTTGAGATGCAAATCCGAGCAAACATACACACAGATGCACACAGACACATTACGCAAGCATGAGAGCACGCATGCATACAGTTGCCGGCTTGTAATGCTGTGGAATATGCATTTAATTTTTACTTATCTTTCAACTTCACACAAACAGAAATCTCAGTCATCGTTCTAGCCATGTGGAATTTCAAACTTTCTTTCGATTCCCCGTGTTCTAATAACTGTAAGTGCTCCATTTCAGCTTGGCCATCACATGTGGCCAGCAATTCCCTTATACTGTAGAAACAAAAAATCACTCTTCTGTCATTGAAACTAAGTTAAGTGACCTCAATGCTTTATTATTGTACAGACAAAGTATTAAAATGGTTTATCTGATAGATACTTGCATTTATTCCTTTCTCCCATCCTTGGGCAAAAGATTGCATTTTCTCTCAAATTATTAACTAGATATATGCTACTTATAGGTAGTCTGAAATTATTGGATAAATTTATGACATCTAATTTCTGGACTATGTTCATCTCCTAAATACTTTAAATCAATTTCACTATTGACACCAGTATTAAGCCTTTCTGATTAGTTTATTTGTGAGTGATTTGTGAAGGCAGAGACTATAGACTAAGAAGAGTTTAAAAATATTACTTTGGATTCAGCTGGATGGTTTGATGGCTAACACAACTTTGCCTATATGCAAATTGCATAAGTGCTAACTTATATGAGCAAACCAGACAGTAGCAAGCCCAAACATGTGACTGCCGGAAGTGTGGAGTCTATTTAAGCGAATAGGTAGATGCTTTAAAGTCAGTGCCGTCATTCAAGCCATCGGCATGTACAAAAGAAAAGACTGGAAACAAGATACATGCTATGAAGGTCGACCCAATTAGTAAAATCGTAAACCAACAGTTGAAAAAGTAAAATATGAAATTAACTGTGGAAAACCAGCTCTTTAAGGATTACTCAAAAAAATATTACTACTTATTGTAATAATTCAGACCCAAATAAAACGACTCTAGTTCTCTACCTCCTAAATTCTCATATGTCTTCATTCTCTTCCAGATAGCCTTGTTAACCATATTTCAATAGTGTGAGTAAGACATGAAACATCACAGATCATTTGAAATCTATACCGCCTAGAAGCATGAATGAAGCAGCCAAATACTTGCCTATCTGCTACGAATTTAATCCTCGTTTTATAGTTAGTCCTAAAGGAAAAGTATTCATAAGTCTCCAAAATAGGAGCTGGGTTGCTAAAATATAGCGATGATTTCGATTAGAATTTACTTGTATTGGTCTCATTTTGAACCTTTCCGATCATGTTCAGCATATATCTACGTCTTTATTTAACCATATTAAATAATTACGAATTTACAAAAGCTTCAATTTATACAAGTAGTTAAGAGATCACACGCCTGACCTCTCATCCCAAAGTTCAACCTTAAGTGAATTTAAAATCAAAATATACCATTTTAGAGAGCTATATTTTTAGTTAGCTCACCCTAAATTCGGTATATGCAACTTTAGTACATTCGAAATGATGATAAGGATGACCTATATTCTTAAATGTATTTTCACTCGTTCTTAAAAGAAGGTAGCTTCTACTCGCTATTCCATAGTGTAAGTAGAATTCTCCTGTGAGCTAAAATAGTATAGGAAAGACCTTGGAGCCCATTTCTTTAGTCTTTATTACTAGATTGGAGTAAATTGGATGGTTAAACCCGGCAAAACTCTTGTCCTCAACTAGGCGGGCAAAAGAAGAAGAGACCCGTCAGTTTTAAACAGGGAATGCATTGGCTGTAGCCAAGTTACCTCACTATCAGTAGTGCCTGGACTGCTTGCTGTCAACGATTGAAAAAAACAGTAAGATTTGTTCAAGCTCTGTTGAGGCAATCCCATCGACAAAACAAAAGAGCACTCTAGGGCGAGTCTTCAAATAGAGCTGCTTATGCCTTGTGGGGCAACTAAAATGCATGCACCAATAAGTGGTGAGGTGTTCGGTCTTTATTAATAGTACCAGAGATCCTAAACACAATTCGTGTATTGTAAGCTAAAAACTGAGCATTTATAAGCTTTGTGCGCAGGATTCTTTTTAAAACAGGAAGAATGAATCGAATGAAGGAAAGATTTGACAAATAAATTTCCTAAGGCTATGCCGGAAGTATTCACTTAAGCTTAACAGTTCTATTAGAGCCAAGCGAAAACTTGTTGCTCACTGGTAATCTTTCAACTGAGATTATTATAAAATGTGTAGTGCTTAACAGAGTACCTTATGTGGAACATCCATATTACCTAAATATAGCTCTGTACCCCAGTTGTTACCTTTATTCATCAAATCCCTTTTATTCTGTCTTTCATAACTTCATTTATATAGCCTTTGATAGCCTTTGAATCTTATTTCAAACTGTTATTCATGATTCTTCTGTTCTACATTTTTTTCCTAATGACACATACCTTTGCTGTTCCTTACCACAATTTTCTTCTAAAAACTATACCTTATCATTTGCTTATCCCTCTTACTTCCTTATTTATTGTTTTTCTTTTGTGATTAAATCGTTTCTCAAAAATATTATCTATTTTGTTCCAAGGGCAAGAGAAGGTTTGTAGGAATA